ACCAGTTCTTAAAAATGCATCAGAGAAATTAAGAGTGTGTGGAAAAATATTTTTAATTTACTCAGTATACTTAACAGCACCTTGAGCCATATTTTAAAAAATATTTAAGCACCTAACTCTCGTTTGTTTCATGAATCTAAATGCCTTTAAAACATCCGTGCCTTTGAATTTAGCCCTTTTCACTGTTATGTTCATGCCTGATGGAACTTCCTTCCTTACAAACTAGCATGATGAGATCACTCAGGTTGGTTTTTTAGATGTTCACATCCATGCTCCTTTCCAGGCTTTGCAAAAAGATTTTAACTGTAAGAAAGTTCATACTATAACAACAGTATGAAGGTGTGTCAGGCCTGTAGCCTTAAATCCAGGGCTTCAACCTGACCAGCCATCTACCCCAACCCACCACCTTGCTCACATTTCCAAAGGCTGGATAAGGCCTTTCCAAAGCTTCCATCAGTACCTGAGTCTCTGTCCACTCTCTGGTACTTGAGTGACTGGCTCCTGCCACCTGACCCTCTGCTTCCCCTACATAGGATGAAGGAGAGGAACAGGAAGGATCTAAGCAACAGGGCTCTTCACATAAGACTGCACATCTGGTCACTCTGCCTCCTTTCTGACCTCCTGGTTTCCTAATTCGGTCCACATGTGGATTTTGCTTTTCTTTTGATCTCCTGGTTTCCTGACTCAGTTTGTCCCTGGATTCGGGTTGCCCTCTCCAGCTCTGATTTGTAACCAAGTTCAACAACCATGATCACTGATTGGCCTGACTGCCCACATCCCAGCACTGACAGCATATGACAAGAAATCAGAACATGTTTGATCAGGTTACTCTCATGCCAGTTCAGGGTCCACAATCCCTTGCAGGGAAAAATCCAAAATAGATGTCATGAATATCAGAAGGAAAACAGAAAAACTCTTGGAATTTCCTGAAGGCATTAAAATCACCACCCAAAAACCTCTGTGCATAAAATGTAGAGGAAACTCTATCAATAACTTGACCGATTTCAAAACTTGAAATTTAAAAAATAAACAAAATTACCTATTTCATTTACAACAGAACTATTGCTTCCTCAGATGTGGGCCATTACTCCTTGCCTTATAGAACCTTATCAGGCTAAAAAAAATGCTGGATTTATATTTATAACAGTATCTCACAGAGATTTGTAGACTGGTCACGTCATGCAAGTTTATTCAAGTCCTTCTTTACATATATTTTGTCCTGCTTGTCCATTCTTTGCCCTTATGAGCAGATGGAACATTATAAAAGAATTCTACAACAATCTCACGTGTGTATTTATTCATTATGTACAAAATTATACCATTTTAAGTCTTAGTTGAACTCAATAGTTAGAACATTCATGTGTTAGATAAGAATGAGTTTTAAAAGTCCCATCTTGGGGACAAATCATATATATTTTGCATATGCCCAGTTTGGCCACATATGTCCCTGACCTGTATGTACACATCAGGGCATTTTCCCATGTAACATGATTGTCTGCAGAACTCTGTATATTTTCAGTCATTTGCACGTAGAGTTTTCAAAGTTGGCTATTAAATTGGAGAAAAAATAAAGGCAACATCAAAACTATACGATTAAGTTTGTGAAAAATGTATTAGTAGCAAATTCTTTAATTTTATTTTGTTAGGCTCTGCTTGAAATATGGAAGCTTAAGTCGGCTTAAATGACAACTATATTTCTAAGTAACACTATTATGTGGGTTTATCTCTCGGTAAGGAAAACTTTTAGAGCAGTTTTAGTGACTCAAGATGCTATTTCCTCCCCTTAAGAGGCCATTCAGATAGCATATCACTGATGATAACAAACAAAAAACAGTTCAGTAAAAAAACACTGTGTCCAGTACTTGGGATTCACAAGCCTTCCTAAAGATCTCCTCTTGGGTTTTCCTAGACTTAGGCTTTTACACCTGGCGTCCAAAGACATATTTAACTGAATGATTCAAATTTCAACATTTTCTTATTCTTCCTAAAGACAAACATGGCTTATAGTCTCATTTTTCTGGTTGTTCTTAGATATATCATATAGGAGAATAGCAATATATTTTCAGAGCTGTGCAAGGTTTTGGACACCATAAAATGGGTGATGCCCTGACTGTCCTTCGTTTTTCTCCACATTCACAACATCTTTTAGCTAGTGCTTTTCCAGCACGGTACATAAAACACAAAATAAGAAATAAAACATTTATAGACTGGCACTGCACTCACAAAGTAAAATCAAAATTAACTCACATCAGAGAAAAAAATAATTTCTCCCTCCCTCTCAGAGCCTGAAGTTGGGTTTTTTTTGCCAACTCAGTGGGTCACAGTTGCACATCTATAAAAGTATTTCAATGAAACAAAGATTCCTTTACCAAATCGGGCTGAATCCCTGCTAAATCAAATCAGAGCCCAAAGCTTCATGCAGCCCTACCAGGCAGTAAATAACAATATTAGCAGTGAGGAAAGAGAAACGTTGATTTGTGCTGATACTAAAATGAAGGTCTTAAGATACTACATTAGAATGATCAAGCATAATAAAAGAAGATAAGTGTCCTCTGGCTTAAGGACAGTGGTTCTCAACCTTAGACTCAAGGCACTCCTTGGAAAATGACAGCTCTTAGCATTTACTCATTTTTGACTGCGGAAATATAATAGAGCAATTCATCTGTTTCTGGAACTCAGAAAGACCACAGCAGGTCAGAGGGTTTTTGGAACTATGGATTGCTATTTGAAATCTCTGGGTTTATCTTGTGAATCACATATAAGTGTTTGGCTCACCTAAATGTGCTAATAGTGCATGGCATCCTGTGGCACCCTTAAGAAGATCTTTAAGGGCCACTGCTCCAGGAGGATGCTATCAATGGCCTGGTGAGGGCATTTTTATAAAAAAGGGAAGAAATTAACATTAAACTGGAAGAGATCCAGCAGAACATTTATCTCATTTGTTTTCAACTATAGGTAACTAAAATAGGTCTATCCTAATGGCCACAAGTTTTTGACAAATTTTAACGAACCATACATGTAAACACCAGGGGTTAGAGGAAAAGAAATCTAGACTATGGAAGAAGGCATCACTTTAAGGATCTTGGCGATAAAACAGGTGGAAGGAGATGAAACAAGAGCTGGACAGGCTATTTCAAGTAAAAGAACATTGGTTCTTCAACAAATGAAGAGATAGAAAAGAAAAAGCAGTTGAAAAAGTGTCTAATGTGGCAGGAAGGAAAGGGACAAAAATCACTACTATACCAGCACCAACAGTAAGGAGATAAAGACACGTACTCATGTGTGACTGGGATGCACAGTACCATCCAAACTCCATAATATTTGTGCTGATAGCTAAAAGAATAGAACACAGGTAAAGGCTTGCTGTGAGATCAGTAATAAGCCTAGAATTGAGCTCTGGAAAAGCTTTTGTAAAGATAATCACTTCCAGTTCATTAGAGGATCTGTCCTGCAAAGTGCTCAGGATCTTTAAATCCCATTGGACTTAATGGAATTTGAAGAGACTCAGGCATTCACTTCCTCTTGCGAGCTCTCCAGGTATTACATACCCATATATACCCAGATAAGCATTTAGTTAGCCAGGTCTGAAGTTAGGCAGAAGGTAGAGTTGAGGTGCATCTTAAAGACTAACTGGAAAAGTCTAACTGCCTAAGATTTCATGAACAGGTCACTGATCAGATGCTATGGAAGGACATGCAGAGAGCAGGCTATCAGACAGAAGGGCTAAATACAGAAAGTCAAAAAGCCCAAGGCAGATTCGATTCAATCTAGGCAGCTTCCTTTAAGCTGCATAGATAAACTCATAACCAACTGAACTAATATTCAGTTTTCAATTGGGAAAGGCAGGGGGAAGCCTGCACTGACCCAGGCCAGTAGGCGGGGGAGTCTACAGTATATCTCCCAGTCTGCTGGCCATTGCCAGTCCAGCCAAGTGTCCCCAAGCCCCTTCCATCCCCCCACAGGGGTTAAGAAGCCCACTGTCTGGGTGCTGGGCCACCTTGGGGAAGCCTCCCCCTCAGGAGATTTCCCCCAGCCTGAGTTCCCCAGTCCAGGCTGCCCTAGGGAGCTGAGGGGAATTCCCCACTCTCCCCTTCCCAGTCATTGATTGCTTCAGCCACTGCCCCAGGAGAGAGGAAGAAGACCTCCAGGCCAAGTGCCTGCCTATGCAGCCCAGCATGGGGCCACCAGGGAGCCCCTGCCTTGTGGGGTTTCCCCCACCCCAGCCCATGGTTCCCTAGCCCCAGGCAGCCCCAGGGAGCTGAAGGAAATTCTTCCCCATCCCAAACCCAACCCCTTGCCTTAGCTGCTGTGAATCTCAGGGATAGCCCAGGGAATGGAGGGAAATTACTCTGCTCCTCTGCATTAGTTTTGCCTCAGATTCATAGCAGTTAAGGCAAAACTGGCTGTGGAGGAGCAGGAGAATCTCTCTCCTCTTCCTAAAGCTGCCTGAGATTCACAGTGGCTAAGGAAAGCAGCAATGTGGTTTGAGAGGGGAAGAATTCCCTCAGCTCCCTGGGCCTGCACTGGGCTGGGGGACCCTGGGCTGGGGTGGTGGGGCGGGAGTCCCCCAAGGCAGGGGCTCCCTGGTGCCCCTATGCTGGACTGCACAGGCAGGCACCTGGCCCAGGGGTCTTCTTTCCCCTCTGTCCTGTGGCAATCACTGGGGTAATCAGCAACTGGGAAGGGGAAGGGGGAGAGGAGATGGCTGCCAGGGTCTGAAAAGTCCCCACCACTGAGGCCTTCCCTCCCCACCACATGCTCA